GTTTGTCTGCAAACCAAGCTTGACAAGGGATGACGGAAAGTCGTTCCGAAATAAATCATTTTATTTGTTACTCAGAAATGAATCGGTTGGTTTTAATTTTTATTTTTTTGCTCGGAAAATAATGGTTATTTTTTGAGTTTTATTTTTTGCTCAGAAAATAATCTTTATTTCTTTAGTTTTATTTTTTGCTAAGATGAAGATGAAGAAGAAGTTATTATGTTTTGAGCAAAAAAATAAAACTCAGTTAATAACGATTAAAAAGTGATTTTTATAATAAAAGTTATGACCATTACGGTCCCAGGTAATTTTCCTTTTTCACAACATTAATCGCAACCAAAAACAAACGAAGCATCAACTTTGTTTCTGATGCGCTGATTGCTTTAGTGATGCGTTTCGATAACTTTGCGGATGCGTTTTGGAAGCGTATATGTTGTCAATGTGATTGTTCACGCTTACCTTGTTATCAGGTTATCTGGCTAAAAATGATTTTTCTGTAGTGTTGTACAACAACAAAAACAACTACGGAAAAATTATTTTTAAGCAGATAACTTGATAACCAGGCAAGAGTGAACAACGAAAATACTTTGCAGTTCGGCGTTATGGAACACTATACTTTGTACTGATGCAAAGCAATTGACGTTTTGGAAGTCAGCCTTGATTGTATTGTTTTTAAAATTTAGACTGCTAAATTTGTATGTGCGTACAAGGTTGTGCTTTAAAATCGCGTTCCCTTACTAACAGTTGTGTTCCCTAACTCGCAGGAAGTTCCAAGAATTTACAGGAATTTACCAGAAAGCGTTATCCTACCCGGTACTCTTGCGTCTTTTGCTTTTTCACAATTTTACGGGTTTTATCCCAGAAAATTTGGGGAACGAAACTAATATTAGCCAATCAAATGGCAGCGAACTGTACAATATAGACGCAGTTTACATAATCAAAGTTTAAACTGGCACTGAAAGACTCGCCCTAAATACTGAACATAATTCTCGTTTTCATGCAACGTTCAAAATAACGTATTTAACTTTGCAATTACTTTACGTCCCGTTATAAGTGCGTAACGTTTTGCTCTCACTCTTTTTTTCTGCCATTATTCGGTGCAAAACACAGATGGCGCGCCGCTGTATTTCTCATTTCTTGATTTTAACTTTCGTAAACATTTACGAAACTGCCACAAAAGCAAGTCGCTTAAAATCTATTTGCTTGCGTGTTTGAATTGAGACAAATGTAGACCGTGGGAAAAGTGTGTAATCAGCGGAGCGCGACTAGTAGCGTATTTATTTAAGGTTCGGTTCAAATGTAGCAGTTCTAAAAATAAACTGCTCCCGTTTAACAAGATATTGTGCTCGTAAGCAAGTGTGATAAGGCCCGGCACTCCTATTATATAATAATAAAAAGTTAAATATTTACACACAAAATAAATGTCGCACGCCCTGTCTGCTGATCCGCCGCAGCCAACACTTAATCAAGCAACTGCCCAGAAATATCTACCCACGCCTCATAACCAACAATCTCAGCAGCAATTGCCAACATGTACCTGGGCACTGAAGTACCCAGAATTGCAGAAAGCCTGTTTTTTGGCACGCATATGTGAGGAGAGGCCTCCTCTCCACTGTCAGCTGCGCAATGTATCTGTTATCCTACAAGAGGGACCCACCTGTGGGCTCACTGCACTAAGCATGCTTGTGGGCGGGACTCCTACAGCACAAGAGCTCTTGCAGGTGGCAAGGGAGCTCCAATATACCAACAATGGCGAGATGTTTAGTGCACAAAATTTATTCAAACTTATATGTGATACTCTTGAATCGGCAAATTTCACGGCGGCCTACGAGATAAATACATTAAAAGAAAGCACGAATGCTACGTCGACGGCGAAAACGATTGCCAAGGAATGCAAGAATGTGTTGGCGGCAGCGGAATGTGAATTGCATCAAGGTCCACTCGACTGTGCCAAGGTCAAAGCAGCACTAGAAGCAGGCGCTTGTGTTTTTGTTCCGTATCCTTTTCAAACGAATTTTATTACAGCGTTGGTAAGCCGTTAAGGCATTTGTAACATTTTAAAACGAAATGTTAAGCTACTTCTTACATAATTTCTAGAAAATAGGTTATTACATTTCATTCGAGATTTGTTTTCTTTCTGCTTGTATTGTTTTGTTTTTGTATAAAAGCTAAAGCATTTGCTTTTGCAACTTTACTAAACAGCTGATTTGCGTTTGGCAATCGGTTTGACATTTGATAGACGTCGGATTGACATTTGCGCTTATTTTTGCTTGTATGATCTTTCCACCAAATTGTCGGGAAGGACTTGCTAATTTGTGATTATTAATATATTTTCGTCCATAAAGAAGGGTAAATTGGTGCAAAATGACAACCGAAGAAGAACAAGTAAGTATTTAAAAAGATTTCTGTAAATTTCATTAACTAACCTCACTTTTTGCCGACTAGATACAAGTGCTGCCGGTGAAGGAACCGCTGGACCTCATTCGGCTCAGTCTGGACGAAAAGGTGTACGTAAAGATGCGCAATGAACGAGAACTACGAGGACGTTTGCATGTAAGTAAAAAATTAACACGATGGCGTTTCCTTTCGGCAGAAAAATGTTACCTTCTCATCATGCTTCAATAATTAATATCATTATTGAATCATGCCTTCTCATAGCGCACAAATGCTATGAAAAGGGAAATGAAAATGTATTTCTCTATAAAAACGCCATTAAATGCGGTGTCTAGGAAAAACCAAAATTTCTTATTTTTATTTACCGAGGGGTAAAGCCTTCCGAACCAAGTACTGTTTTCGAAAACTGCCAAAAGCCATCGCAGTTATTTCTGGGAACTCGAAATAAAATTAACTTGGAGAATGATGCATGTAAATGTATTAAACTTTCAAAATTGTCTTGTCTTACAAAAAATTACCCTTCCTTCAAATTCTACCGCTAAGCACCAGAGACATAACTATTATAAGAGAAAAGAATAAAAGGCAATCAATAATCATTATATTAAGATAAATATTTGGTGTATTGTGGAACGATTTTCCGTCATCCCTTGTCAAATTTGGTTTGGAGACAAACAAGTTTCGGCGTTGTGCCATCTTCAGTGTGATTTTTCGACGAACGACGAATGATGACGGAAAATCGTGACGATGTATTGGGGCATCATACTCCTACCCTGTCGGAAACACAAACAACCAAAAAGAAGATAAATATCTGGGTCCAGTTGGGGCTTGGTTTGGGAACCGTTCGGGGCTATATACAAAATTTTTTCGAACTCATAATTATTAACAAAAGACTTATAATAAGTCAAAATAAAAGTTTGTAAAGACTTACAAATATTTAATTCAATGATAATTATTATGACAATACTTTTATTTATAATATAAGTCTCAAAATAAAAGTATTTGAAGACTTAAAAATATTTTATCTGGCTGATAATTATTATGAAAATACTTCAATTATATAAGTCTTAAAATAATAGTTATCGATGACTTAAACAAAAAATTTCACACATAATTATATTACGGTTCGGTTATTTGTACAATAATTTTGCGTTATTGTGTCTAAGCGCGTGGCCCGAATCAATAAAAAAATAATAAGCAACATACACGTGTAGCCAAGAACTAAAATTTAAACCTATGATTTTGAATTTCCGAACACTAATTTAGCAATAAATTCGCTTTCAAAAATGATTTTTTTTTTTTGTAAATTTCGAGGTGAATTCTGGGGTTGGACTGATGAGGGTTATTTTTGATTTTTTTTTCAACCGCCAATGCAGAATGGAATACTGTGGATGGAGTAACGATCTCTGTAATCTGGTAATTTTACCCTCTTTACAAGCTTTTACTTGCTCTGTAAGTATGTTTTTTAGAATCAATTGTTGAACACCTTCCCAATGACAAAGCAGTACGAAAGATGAGTTTATCCGATAGGTGGCTCGGGAGTCGAGATATTTAGAGTCTGATTTTGTTCCTATTTAAAACGTATGTATTTGCATATATTAGCTACATGAAAAGGAATAACTCGACTAAAAAAATTTGCCGTCAGTTGGCGCACGATGGTTATATTTGATAAACCCGTATTTGATGATCCGATTTCGTTCATATTTAGAAACCTTGCTTTAAAAATATTTGTTTTTAACTATTAACTTATTTCAAATGGGTCCACATACGTCTGTAGAATGGTTAAAGGTGGGAGAGATTACTTTTTTCAAGTTACCAACATTTCCCGTTTCTGTGTGTAGAAATGTGGTACTGTGATAATATGACCAAACACTGCCCCGATATAGATACATAGTTACATTACAAAATATGGGACCTTTTCTGTAACTATTTCAAGTCAAGTTTTTCTAAGAGCGCTCGCCCCTCGGCAGGCAAAGGCAATGCCAAACTCTTAGCAAAAGTGTAAGCGCAAAAATATTATGATTTTTATCAAGTCTTACATATGTATGTAAGTATTATAATGACATAAAAATTTAATTTTCAGGCGTTTGATCAGCATCTGAATATGGTACTTGGTGATGCAGAGGAAACAGTAACCACTGTAGAAATAGATGAGGAAACCTATGAAGAAGTATATAAAACAACCAAACGTACGATCCCGATGCTGTTTGTGCGTGGTGATGGTGTTATTTTGGTATCGCCACCTATGAGAGTGGGCTAAAAAATACAGCTTTAATATTTAAAGCAAATAAATTGTTAATTAAAAAAATTATGTCAGTATAAATAAATATATGTGCGCTAAAAATTTTATTTGCTTTTATTTATAACTAAAATCATGATACAATTTTAATTTTCCTTAACATACCTAATTAATTTGCTAATTTGGAAATAGCTACGATCCTGACTACAACCATTCACCTTGTCTCAAACATGGACACAAAGCACATTGGGCGCTAATTGTTGGCTACTTAATAACTGATACAAAAGAGGTATGTGTAGAATATATGTTTTTATGCTTAAATATTATTAATGCAAAAGCATAAATTTACAAAAAGAAATGTTGCGTTATTTTTATTTCTAAAACTTTTCTTTTGCATTTCAACATTTCAGTTTTATGTGTTGGCGCGCCATGGAAAAGCAAGAAATATCGCGGTATGGTCGTTGGCTGCTCTCAGTGACAGTAATGCAAACCTCAAAGAGTTCGAACAGCCTAAAGGGTATCCCGATTGTGATTTTCTGCTACCACCTGGTGGTATCGGAGGCGATTTAGGTTTAAGAGAACGTGCCATAGTTGTGAACAAGTTGCCGCAAGAAAATGTATATACGATACAATCTAACTAATGTTAAATTTCGGCCATATTTTCGGTAACGCGCGTAAGCCCCTAACACACATATATGTATGTATGGGGATACTTTTTTTACATGCAAATGTTTTCTCTTGTACAGAAATTAATGAAAATAAAACAGTGAATTTATTGTGATGACAATGTATACATAAAAAAAAACTGCCCAATATCCTTCTGTTAATATACCCGTTCTCGAGCGGACATTTCTCGCGTCGTTTGAGGTCATCCATGCTAGCTAAACGAAAACTACAGTATTGGACATATCTATAGCACCCCCCTTTCAAAGCGATATTGTTTGTCACTTATGTTTAATTATTTATTTTTAAGAAATTTCAATTAAAGTACAGTTCAGTCTCTAACGAAATTTATATAAACTCTTCTTTAAAACGTTTTATAAGGGTACAAAATAATGCAAAAAATGTTCACCCAAGTATCAAACTTTTTTTCAGAAGTGCTTGAGTAACAGTTTTATCCCATTCAATTTTAGCCTAATAATGTGCAAGTTTCAAGTGGTTAAAAACTTCCGTTGATGTTTTAGAATTTTTTTTTCGCAACGAATAAACAAAATTTGTTTTTATATGGAAGAAACCCGCAATACTTTCGGCGAAAAGAAGTCTAAAAATTCAACGGTAACTTTTAGCCACTAGAAACCTGCATATTTTTAGACTAAAATTGAATGGGCTATAAGACCGTGTTCTCAGAAAAAATCTAGCACTTCTGGGAAAAAAGGTTGAAATTTAGAGGGGAATTTGTCGCATTATTTTGTAGTCTTTGAAAAAGTTTTAAACTTGGGTTTATATGAGTTTTGTTAGAGAATGAACTGTATTGTAATTGAAAATTCCTAAAAATAAATAAATAAACATGAGGGCCAACCAATATCACTTTGAAATGGGGGTGCTATTGTATTGGCCAATACTGTATATATGGTGAAACAAATAAACTACATATGTATATATATGGTTATCAACTTAGCTCGTTTCTACGAAAGTCGGGTCTGCGTAAACGGATCGGCCCAGATATATGTATGTATAACAATGGCGGCTTAGTTCGTTAGGGGTTTAAAAAACTGATTCGAGTTCAACGGATATGCTGTTCATTTCACTACTTGTTATGTTGTTTGCGGATCAAGAACGGCGAATATTAAAAAGGCGATTTGTTTTATTTCATTGGAACTCTAAAATATTTTTATATTTAATTTTATTGTTACCGACAAACTCACTTAGTAACTATTACATTTTTTAGTCTGCATTTTGCCATTAGTTAAGTTAGCTATTCTAATTTTAGTAATTTTATTAGCGTATATGTACATATAGGAATAAAAACACTCAGTTAAATAACTATGTATGCAATTATTAATGTATGTATACATATCGCACACCGTCTTCAAAAGAGTCACAACTCAAAATTTGGCATTTTTGATATTATGCGCTAAAAATGTACACAGATCTTTTATTTAACTTTCCGCAAAAGCTGGAGAAAATTTTTGTTATAATTTGTTAAAAAAAAACCTAAGGTAAAGTCGACCTTGCCCTATGATTATCATGTGCTAAGAAATAGTTTTTCGCATTTTCTGACAAACGTATTATTTTGAGTTGTGACTCTTTTGAAGACGGTGTGCGATATGTAGTATGTTTTGTTACAATTAATTCCCACAACATTCAGTCAATCGCATTATAACGTTTACAAATTCATATATCGCGCATTTAATAATATAACGAAGTATTTCAAAATTTCAATTTTGTGAGAAAACGCAATCAAAGTTTTATCAGTTCATAGTATGAATTTCATACAGTTGGTATACAAAAAGTCAGATGGAAAGACACATATCTTCGCCATATTTGGGAAATTTAGTTATCTGTTAGACTCAACATATTCTTCTTATCCAGCTTATTAATTGGTTAATGAAATCTCCAAAAACCTAAATTTTGAGTTACATCTCTATATTATTAAACGTGCGATATGTATGTATATCATTTAACTTCAAAACCTCTTAATTAAAAGCATGTTTTACATCTTTTATACTATCAGGCAGATTCTGTAATTCACTTCCGAGTGAATTTCAATTAACTTCGCTTTGAATTCAAATTGACAGGGGTTGAAATTCACTCGGATGTGATTTGCAGAACCTGCTTGCATATGAACTACACATATAGTTTGGAAAGATATCTAGATAGGAAATTTGTACATTATATATAATCGATACTGAGGCAACATGACCATTTTATTATGCGTACATGTAGAACTAATCGCATATTCAAGTTTGTCTTGCTCATATCAAACAATTTCAGGAATCTTAATGTAGCTGAATATGCAATTTAAAGTATTTAATAGAAGAAAAAACTATTTATCCTGGAGTTTTGATCTTTCAAAATTATTCGGTACTCGCCTAATGGAGTAACTGTAGATGCACCCTTTTCAAGCTTAATTAATACAGAGAAGCATTTCGATGAAATTGATTTGAAAAAATGTATTTGTCAAATTATGCGAGATATGCACTTTTCGAAATAACTTATTCAACTGTATTGAAAGATCTCGTAAGATAAGCATAAAAAACCTAGCTTTAAAAGAAGTACATAGTATATCGATGGCTGAGTAGAAGATCGACCTATCTCGGCTGCCAGTTCGAAAATGCTCTGTCTCAAAAAACTTTTCAAGAACGCCCTATTTCAGAATTTTATTGAAAAACGCCCTATCTCAAAATTCGGTTCAAAAACGCCCTATCTCACTTCAAAATGTATTGAAAATATGCTGTTATAGGGAACGAATTATAGGGGAACGAATTCTGAAATAGAGCGTTCTTGAAAAGTTTTTTGAGATAGAATGTTTTCGAACTGGCTGCCGAGATAGGTCGATCTTCCACTCAGCCATCGATATCAATATTTTATGTTGCAAACCGAAACACACAAGTTGTGTTCGTTTGGAAAAGCCAGCAAGAATTGGCCAGCAACAAAATTCAGATAATAAGGTATCTAACTCTTCTAAAAAGAGAATCTTTCAAAGTTTAACGCGAACAGGAATTTGCAGGAAATCGCAGATAAATATCTAGCCTCGCCACCAGCTGGCGTCGGTGGTTGCATTTCGAACATACAATTTTTTTTTTTAATTATTTCAAGCGGAAACCAAAACAGGACCTATACTTATATTTCTTCTTATTCTGACTTTCTTCAACATAAGGCCTGTTGGAGGCACGTAATAAAAGCGGCATTACTGCCGTACTGATGAAAAATGCCAACATTGTTGCAACTGTCCAACTGATAATACATTGCTAGGAATTCACACAGAACGTGATACTTTAATAATTCGCGCAACACTGCGGTTGTGATTGCAACTCGAACAAGCCCAAACGTTTTAATTTCTTTGTGGAAGTCACTGTCGGATTTCCTATATCGACAGTGGAGTCGACTGCGTTCCGATTACGAATACAGCTTTTTCAGCCGAGTACCTTTCAAATATTTGGAATTAATTAAACTAATTAAGTAAACAAACATTTATATACTTTATGTGGAAGAAAACCGGAAATCCTTCAGCAAAAAGTGTCTAAAAAATCGACGGTAATTTTTAGCCACTTGAAACTTACACATTATTACACTAGAATTGAATGCGCTATATATACTTGAAACTTGCACTTTATTATCTATCTATATATATAAATGTGAATGTCTGTTTGTTTATTACCTTATAACTTCTAAACCGCGGCACGGAATCGCATGAAACTTTACACACTTATTTGCTTTTACCACGTGAAGGTTATAGGCATAGAGAAATATGGACAGCACTGTAAAAGGGGGCGTGGCACCTCCCTTACTAACTAAAATTATCATACTGTATATCTCTTGAAATATTTGGGGTAGGGTACTGGAACTTCGTGTCGAGATAAATGAAATTAATTCCATACTCTTGGGGAAAAAATTGGCGGTATAGGAAAAGGTTCGTGGCACCTCCCATAGGCGTAAAATATTTAATCAGCTATAACTTCGGAACCGTAAGTCACATGAACTTGAAATTGGGTATGCAAAAAGAGGCGTGGCACATAACATAGGCGTGGAATTTTTAGTCAGTCACAACTTCGGAACCATAAGTCACTTGAACTTGAAATTCGATATGCAGACATGAGTTTGTAAAAGGAGTCGTAGCACATAAAATAGGCGGGGAATCTTTATTGGCCATAACCACAAGTCACATGACCCCTTTAATTCCTTGTGATATGCCTTTAGAATTTACAATACTTCAGTTTCCAGTTCGCTTAGGAGTTGCAATGACAATAAACAAGAATTCCTCAGAATAAAATCCAAGACTCGTAAATAAAATGTATGAGAATTGTTTCGAAAAATGCATTTATGTTAATAGATTCATTTATATTACAACATTCGAACTTCTACTATTATATTATTTATTGGAGATTTTTTAATGTATGTAAATAAAAACACCTGCTGTGCCAAAAAGTTATTATTAC